AAGTTCAAGATAAAGAAAGAAAGCAGTAAATATGCATAATTAAATACAATTTGATAATTTTTTAAAAAATTATGCACACAGTAGACAACTACCCGAGAACCATCTACCATAGATTTGAGTTCTGGACTCTTCTCCATTATTAAAGAAATTGGGAACACATTTGCCTCTTGTACTAAAATCTATATTAAGCAATGTTTCTTTAATATAGGTCATGTGCTAAATTAGCAATAAGGTTTTGTTAAATTTTTAAGACATAAAGAAATCTTCTTTTTTGAGACTGAGTCTCACTGTGTCACCCAGGCTGGAGTGCAGTGGTGCAATCTCGGCTCACTGCAACCTCCACCTCCCAAGTTCGAGTGACTCTCCTTCCTCGGCCCCCAGAGTAGCTGAGATTACAGGCATCTGCCACCATACTCGGTTAAATTTTTCTTTTGTATTATCAGTAGAGACAGGGTTTCACCATGTTGGTCAGGCTGATCTCAAATTTCTGACCTCAGGTGATCCACCCGCCTCGGTCTCCCAAAGTGCTGGGATTACAGGTATGAGCCATCACACCCTGCCAAGATATAAAGAGATTTTAAAATATTCTCACCTAAGGACATATGTTTAATAAGATTGGAGTTTAGCAACTCATGCTTTAAAAAATTAAATAGGCAACTTAGCTGGGTGTGATGGTGTGTACCTGTAGTTCCAGCTACTCAAGAGGCTGAGACAAGACGATTGCTTGAGACTAGGAGCTCAAATCTAGTCTGGGCAACATAGCAAGACCCCATTTCAAAAAATGAAACAAAAAATCAAAGAGGCAACTTAGAATAAATAGACTTGATAGCTGACAGGATATATCACAATTTTGCCTTTCTCTTTTTATGCCATCGTTTTTATTAGTTGTCAAAATAACTAATTTTATATTCCTTGCACCAAAGGAAAGATGTTTATCCTATAACTTTCCATTTAAAGAATTAAACCTGTAATTATTTTTTGCTATATATAAAACTGAGCTGCTCCAGAATTCTTCTGTCAAGTATACACTTCTTATGAATCAAATGTATCATGAAAATGGCAGACAGTAATGCCATTTATTAGGAACATTGTACCTAGCCCCAGCCCTAATTTTATGCTCAGAAATACTTATGAGGAAGGAAACAGAGAATTTAAATTACTTTCAAGGAAAAAATTTATATTTTCATGGAAAAATATTAATCATTGGTAAGACAATAAAGGTGCATATTCTTTGATTTTATGGAAATACTTCTTCATTCATTCTCTCCTCCTTTAACAATTACATGATAAAAATAATAATCTATTTATTTGGAATATTAATATGTGCCAAACAGTTTAATTTTAAGTTTTTACCTATTGCTGTCAGACTCAGATAAGAAGAAAAACTAGTCAATGAAAGAGAGACTTTTAACATTCTCTGAAAAAGACAGCAATATACACATCAAGACTGATATGGTTTGGCTGTGTCCCCTCCCAAATCTCAACTTGAATTGTAGCTCCCAGAATTCCCATGTGTTGTGGGAGGGACCCAGAGGGAGGTAATTGAATCATGGGGGCCAGTCTTTCCTTGCTGTTCTCATGATAATGAGTAAGTCTCACAGGATCTGATGAATTTATCAGGGGTTTCTGCTTTTGCTTATTCCTCATTTTCTCTTGCTGCCACCATGTAAGAAGTGCCTTTGATTCTGAGGCCTCCTCAGCCATGTGGAACTGTAAGTCCAATTAAACCTCTTATTTTTCCAGTCTCAGTTATGTCTTTATCAGCAGAGTGAAAACAGACTAATACAAAGACTAAAAATAAGGTCCATATCAAAGTTGTTTTATCTACAGACCTTAGTATATTGTTGAACATAATGTAATAAAGTCTATGGACAGTCACGATGTAAAGTAATCTGATTACTTCATAATCACTTGTATTTCATCCTCATGTGATTCTTGGAGAAGATGATTATTGGCAGGAGATTAAGCCAAAGACCCTGATGAAGCCAACACAATAAAAATCATACCTTCCATTTATCTCTCCCTATAAATCCTTATTTAAGACTTAAGCTACAAATGCTTCCTTCTTAAAGGTTCACAGGGGAAAAATGATAGAATATGGAAAAAGATATAAATTTAAATTTTGATGCAGACAATAAATTACAGAACAGAAGTACCAGAAACCTCATGTTCCCTGCCAACAAAGTGTACTCTTTTAAAAATGATGGGCTTCATCCAGGGTTGATTAAAACTGAAACCAATCCAGTAATTCAATGAGAGCTTAATGTCTCATTACAAGGGATTCTTGTATTTCAATTCGGAGAAAATCTTGTTTTTAAAAATAGCATTATTTTTAAAAAGTAAATCTCATTTCTCATTAATTATACTATATGCTGTAGAACAGAATGTGGCATAAGATACCCACCATGGGTATAATCCAATTGGAGAGATAATTGTTGAAATAGCTAAGACATGAATTATTTTTGTTAGCTCCAGCTTCAAGGAATTCCACAGCATGGACCCTAGCCAAGTATTATAATGAATCTACAACATTACCCTACCCCTGAATTGTGGTGTTCTGTGTTATATCAAAGAGATCTCAGAAAACCTTCTGTGATTTAAAATATTGCAAGATTTTTATTCTTCCATAAATAGAAGAGTTCCTCAAGATTATAGTCCTAATTTTCCCACTCAATTCAGAAATAAATCCCTTTTATTTCAACGGCATTAAGATAAAGTCTATTGTATATGCAGATGGGTGTAAAGGATTAAATTGTCAGATTTATTTTTTAAAACTGTAACACCGAAAGGAGCAATACAATATCATTCAAAAAATACCATTGAAAATGGAGGTAACTCATAAAATCTTTAGATAAGGCTTTGATATTTTAAAATTCTTACAAAGTAAAGTTTCTTATTAAGGAGCACATAACATGGGAAAGCCTGTAGATAATATGTGGAATAATTTAAAGGGCCTAAAGAAAAAAAATTCATATCACATCTGAGACTTTTGAATAAGTTAAATGTTTATGGTCCAAAAACTATACTAGCCAAGAGACAATAACCTACATTAGTACTTATACAAATATTCAGCCCCCTCTGGAATAACATTATTTTAAATTTAGATGTCATATTTATATTTCGTACTAAAAATAGAAATAATTTTCCTACAGAACGTTTTATTTAAAATTAAAAACACAAAATCTTTTGCACATGAACTTGTATAATAGGTTAAATATACATCAATACCACCATACACATTTATGAAATGGGTTTCTAATAAAATTGGAAATTAAACTAATGACTCTTCATCTTTACTGACTAATGAATACTTTATAAACTCTATAATTTAGTTAATTGGAAGAGAATTCTGGAAACAATCCTAATGGACAGAGATCCTGGAAACAGTACTGACATCTAGTCTTATCTCACAGAAGACTTTCAGAAAGATTAACTTTCATTTTTCTAAATAGGAAATTTACATAGTTGCAGAACATAGTTCCAGGAGAATGTGCCTAGATGAGGTGAGACAAGTATGAGGGAAGGATGAGGATGAAAGCAGGCTCCTTAACTCCTCTTTGTCTCACTGCTGATGGAGAGTGATTCTCCCACATCTGTGAAAGCACACACTTGTGACAAGTTTCCAGAAATAGTCATCCAAAATAGGCAGAGTCTGTGGTGTGGGAACTCTGCCACCATCTCCCACCATTATGGCCCTAGAGTGTGGAATAAGGGGCAATGGAAAAGTGTCCCTTTCCACAACCTCCTGAAGTCTCCTGAAATCCGTGTTTTAGTCCCATCTCATCTTTTAACAGGCAATAAGGGGTAGAAATTCAGGAGAGATGCTAGGGAAAAAGCTGCAGATTTTCCTGCAGCCTAGTGAACCTACAGTTCAAAGCACTTACATATACAGAACATAGATTGGACACTACCTGTATATAATTTGGAATTAATGTCTACCTATACACTACTTATCCCACTAACAATTCCTGCTTATTAGATAAGAGATCATACAAAGGTTTTACTCTTCAGATCATGCTAAAAGAATAAGAATGTAGATTTATAAACCAGTGATCAAAATGCCACCTGGTTGGCAAACAACGTTTTGATAAATGATAGTAACAGTCTTGAAACTCCATAATTACACAGAAAAAAATGGACTTAGTGCATTGAGAAATAAATTGACTAAATACATAATCATAAAAGTAATATATGAAATGGATAATTTCACAGACTTGGTAAGTCATTTCACTTTGATTCTGATATAACTCTATTTGGCTTTCATTTAAACATGCATAACATACTTATTAAACAGGAGGCTTTAATTTAATTTACCTACTTACATAACAACCTATAATTTTATTATAAATGACCCTTAATAGCAAAGCAAAAATCTCTTGGAGCCATGTGAAAGCAGTTGGGTCACTGACCGTCATCCCAGTCTTCCCTTCTGTTGATGAAAGTGGGACCACTGGATGGCAAGAATGGATGTGTGAAGAGGTTTAGTCCACAATGGAATCTATGAGGCTGAGTTGAATACTCAGCTATAATATCTGAGTATCAGTATAGTACAATGGTGGAAGCCACTGTTAGTCACCAAGTATTTACCAGTTAACAACCAATGTGGCCAACTGTTCACAAATAATCCCATTTTACCCCAATTCTTTTGATCAATATGGATAGATATGAAAGTTCTTGATATGAAAGTTTTTGAATATAATAATTATTTAAAATTCCAAAGAAGAAGGATTTATCCAAATCTGAATCAAGTTTCCCAAAGCAGCTTGACAGTGGATTAAACATCTCTAGGCTCATATTCAGCCTCTAGTGATAAACCAATAATGTCTACTACAATTATATTCACCAAAATGTTTTCACCACATCATCCTAAACTGAGAACGGAATATTATTTTAGTAAAGGCAGAACTTTAAAACAGAAATCTTCCCAACAGAAATTTTAGAAAACATTTTAAAAATCACATTAGAAACGTAAAATTCACTGTTTTTGAGCCAACACTGACCTTCTGTTCCAAAAGCAATGTGTTTGTAGGGATTGCTGCAAAAGCCTTGTAGCTTGACTTGGTCTTGTATTGCTAGAATGGGCAACCAGAAAGCAAGAGTAGATGTGAAAATGGGAAAGAACATGACATAATTTTCAGACAGTTCTACCAAGTTAAACGACACGTTATCAAATGAAGAAAATGGTTATTATGCTGAACAACTTGTTTCTGACAGAAACAATTAGCTTACCATGTTAATATTTTATTAGAATGAGAAGCAAAGAAGTGCCACAGTAAAATACCAGCCTAGAGATTACAGGCAATTATATGCCACTCCGTTTCAGAACTTAAAAACTTCCTTTACACAAAGTTATATATAAATTTTTCATTAGCAGCATTCCCTCATAGGAGTACTACTCTATACAAGAGGACAGGAGGTGGTTCTGCTTGATCCTCAAAGGAATGTTTCTTTTTAACAGTCTCACAATTAACAAATATTATGCCAGTAAGTGTAATTGAGCTCTTGATCATTTTCTTACATCATCCATAAAAACAAAGATCAAAATACATAAAAATTAGCAGCCATTTTTTTATGCAAGCAGCAAAGTAGTCAATAATTTGAACATAAACAATATGAGCAATGTAACCCCATAAAGAAAAACAAAAAGTACACACGCTTGATCTTAAACTCATTTTTTAAACCTCATCATCCCCTGCACTTTCTAACAGTTATGTTAATGAAGCAAACGTTAAAACTTCCTAAGTGTTAAGTACAACTCAGAATAAAATAGTTCAGTGTTGTAGATTATTTGGGGGAGAGGGGCAAGCAAGAGGAAGCTGTAGAAATCAGGATAAATATGCATAATCAAAAACTCAGTTTTGATACTGCTCTGGGTCTTCAGCTGATTAACTGAGTTCAAGACTCCTGTCCCTTCAGATGCCCTTGTCTCAGGCAGCTTCCCCAGTGGCCAGTACCAGTGAGGAAATGGGCACAGAGCTCCAGGCTCTCTTAGTGTCTTCAAAAGAAAACCAAAGTGTCTGCAGAAGACAGTGTCATCAAATAAAATTAAGCCTTGGGTTTTATAGATGTAATTGAAGGAAACTTCATTAAAGTGGGGTGGTGAAGGTAAGAGACTGGCACATTCATTTTCCTTAGGAAAAAGTTGAAGTTGTGAGGAATCAAAGTGCCAGATCTAGAAAAAGAAAGTCAGCATCCAGCTAACAGCAGGATGCATTCTCTTTTTTACTGTTTTCTTTCTTTTCTTGGTATACTGAGCTAGAGATAATGAAAAAGCCTGCATGCCAGCAAGTGGCATTATCACACTAGCCAGATAATCAGTCACCCACAAACAAATGCTCACTTACACACTCTTATTCATACACATGAATGTATACATATATATACATACTCACATACAGACACACACACACACTCTTTCACACACACCCAGCTAAAAGTGCACAAGAGCTCAGAAGCTACACACTTTTTCCCAAAAAATGTACTCTGAATATTTACTTGTCTTCCACTTTCCCTCCACCATATAGCTCTTCTCCCATAGGAAGAAGCTATATGGCTTTCTGCAAGTCTCTCAACTCTTAAGGAACCTACTCTCCCATCTTCTACATGAGGCAATTGCTGGAAGATGTCTCAGGTCACTTCAAGCCCTAAGTTGCTACATTGACCCTGCCCTGCTGTGGTCTCTAGACAAAAAGATATTTGAATAAGAATTGAAATTGAAATACTATCTTTCCATGGGCAATAGGAGCTGACATTTATTACTATGCTGACATTTATTATTATTACTCACTTAATTTTACAGAAGCCCTATAACTAGAGAGTTATTAAGAAAAGCAGAGGTCAAATGACTTGTCCAAGATCACGCAGCCCATAAAGAGCCTGCCTGTGTCCAATATACATGCTTTCTCTATACTATTTTCTTCCAAAGAATACATAAGCGTACATGTAATGCAGAATAAAATATACCATCTCACTCTATGATGTCTTCATGAACAGTTAATTGTAATTATAGTTGCAAACATAACAGTATCTAGCAATCACTATGAGCCAGGTACCATTCTAAAAGCTTCATGTGAATTAACTCACTCAATTGTCATAACAAAGCTATTAGGTAGGTACTATACTATCCCCATTTTATATATGGAAACTGAGGTACAGAAATGTTAAATAACTAATTGAAGGTCACCAGCTAGTACATGTAAGTCATGGCTGGAATTTGGACACAGGTACTCTAGCCCAACAACTATGCACATATCTACAAATGCCCTTGCCTCTCATTTCCGGATGTGCAATCATTTACAGTGCTTGTTCTCCTATCCTCAACTTCCCTAAAGAATATAGCTGGGAAAGCCTGTACAGAGACATATCTTGTTATTGCACACAAAATGTCACAGAATCTTACAATAAGAAGTGATATTGAAGGTGATTTGGTTCAACCCCCTCATCTGACACATGAATCTCTGTTCTGTTTAGTAGCCAAATGAACACTTGCTTACTTCCCAAGGCAGCACATTCAGGTCTAATTGTTAGAATTAGTACAAAATTCTCCCCTACATTGAGCCAAAATATGCTTCCTACTAATTTATCTCATTGGTCCTATTTCCCCCCTCTTGAAATCATGGCTCATGCCAAGACCTCTCTTCTACATAATTATATTTCTTCCTTCACCAACTCCCTGATACTCAAGTGAAGAATTCCACTACCCTCATTGCTCTCCTCTGATAATATTCCTTAAAATTATAAAAAGTGTTTAACTAGATGTGTTTTTAGCACATAGTAAAATATAATCATCACTTCCATGATATTGACAATAAACTCAATTAATGTAATGAAGATAATAATTGGGATCATCTCCTTAGTTTTTGTGGAGAGTTTTAAAATATGCAAGAAAGGAGGTTGGAGTTATTTCATATTGTTGGATCACACTGAGTAGGCTATCACCTAAATTCCTAATCCTTTCATCTTTTTTCAAAACATTTGCCGTTAACTCCATCCTATATTTATGCTTATTTATACTTTTTTAGACCCAAAAATAGGGCTTTAGGCATTATCTTTACCAAGTTTTATCTGATTAGATTGGGTTTGTCATTGTAAGCAATGAAGATAAGAATTTTTGGATTATTTCATGAAACATTTTGTTAGGTGTGTCATTTTTATCTTCACTCAAATCATATACTAAGGACTAGGAGCTCCTGCCACTGGGTTCTCTCAGCTTGGTGGACATTAACTGATCCTGTAAATCTGTTTATGGATGTTCAACTAACATGTTTATTCAAGAAATTTTTTCTCTTTCTTTTTCTTTTCTTTGGGGGGTGTGGTGAGTGGGGAGACAGAGTCTTTCTCTGTTGCCTAGGCTGGAGAGCCATGGTGCGATCATGACTCACTACAGCCTCTACCTCCTGAGCTCAAGTAATTCTTCCACCTCAGCCTCCAGAGTGTCTGGTAGGAAAGGCATGTGGCACCATACCCAGCTAATTTTTTTTTTAATTTTTTTGTAGAGATGGTTTCTTACCACGGTGTCCAGCTTTGCCTTGAATTCTTAGGTTTAAGCCATCCTCCTGCCTCAGCCTCCCAAAGTGCTGGGATTACAGGCATGAGCCACCATGCCTGGCCAAGAAATATTTATTGAGTACCTACTACATGACATGCACTACTCCTCTAAGACGTACGTACCCTTTCCTTTTCAGTCTAAAATTCCCATGTGTTGCCAAAAAAGACATGTTTTGAGTCCACTCTTTCCTCTGGGTTCTCTTAACAATATATACTCAATCTAAATATGAATTTTTTATTCTAATTTGGAACACATTTCCTCTTAAGCATTTCAAGGCTTCCAGGTGCTAAACCAAATTCATTCATTTTCCTTTTTGGCTTAAAATTATTAATCATTCTAATGTGGAATTACAGGGTTAGAGTAAACATTAGCTAATCATAGGAGGTAAAAATGACGGGCCTAAATCTAAATCTGGCAAACGATGCAATAATACCTATTGGTTCTCTCCAATTTCTAATCTATGCTTTCAGTTAACATTCAATAAATATTTCTTAAATATCTTCTGCATGGTGCAGGTCAATGTTTAGGTTTGGAAAACAAAATGGCATTTTATTACTTATGTTTACCAGAGCTAATCCTGTTTATAAGCAATGCTAGTTGCTAGCTGCAATATAAATGCTGGGTTAGAAGGTAAGGATAGCAAGAACACATTCTGCCCCTTCAGAAAATATTTTCCACCAAAGTCATATATCCTGTTGCTGATGCCTAAAATGCCACCACAGGCTCTAGTAATAAAGATCCATGAGGTCTCAAAGTGAACTGTTAGTTGCCTTGAGGATCAGGGGTTTGGACTCACAGTTACACTTTAAGTGCAGTAAATCAGGGGCCCCTAACCCCTAGATTCAATTGTCACAACAAAGTACCTGTTAGGAATTGGACCAAACAGCAAGAAGTGAACAGCAGGCAAGTGTGTATGGCCATCTAAGCTCTGCCTCCTACCAGATCAGCAGCAGCATTAGATTCTCATAGGAGTGCGAACCCTATTGTGAACTGCGCAGGCAAAGGATCTAGGTTTCATGTCCCTTATAAGAATCTAATGCCTGATGATCTGAGATGGAACAGTTTCATCCCAAAACCATCCCCAACCCCCTAATCCATGGAAAAACTGTCTTCCATGAAACTGGTCCCTGGTGCCAAAAAGGTTGGGGACCGGTGCAGTAAATGAAAGAAGCGTGGATTATATAAACAATAGGATGAGGAAACCATGGTGAAGAGCCTCACTACCATCATGTCCAACTTCTTCCAGAAGCATTCCTGGGCAGAGATGAGAGCATCACTCTACATGTACACTTTCTGCTCCTCAGTGATCATGTCTGTCTTACCTGGGTCAGAATCTCCTTGATATCAGTCCTGAGATGAAAGCTCAACCAATCCCTAATCCAATTCATAGGAGATTGCCCAGACACTTCCTTATATCTGGATTACTGGCAGAGCACAATCTATAATGATCCTGATAATGGAAAAGCTAGAGGTAGAGGATATAACTGTCAAAAACTGCCTGGCAAAGCAGATAGGCAAGGTAGC